TTAAATGACGAAAAATTAGGTGTCTGTTTACTTGTGACCACGCTGTGTATATAGTTTTGTACTTTGGTTTTGACTTTAATACAGACTATAAATTAGCTATTTAGTAGTTACAATTATGCATGTCTTTAGACTGTTGCCTGGCTACAATATTTTTACGTATCTGTTCGTATGTTAATTTCCGGTATAAATTCTTTCCTAGGAACTTCAGCGACACAAGTCCTTTCCTAATTAAAACTAGTTTGTTCTTTCTCTATACACAGAATTTCCACAGTCAATACGTTTGCAATCTCGATAACAAAGCACACACTTTATATTACCGTCACTACCGCTCGCTTGACTCAATTATCTGTCTCTATATCTATCTATCTTTCTATTCTTTATTTGCCGGGCTTATATACTAAAAAGAGGGCGTCCCGAACAGACTAGGAAATTCACGATCATTCGAGAAACTCGTGACTTCCGCTGTCGCAACAATATTGTTGTTCAGGGTTTAGCTATGAAATTACCAAACTTAGACTGATCCTACCTGTTTCTGGAGTGTAGAAGCCGAAACGTTGGCACATTCTACAGACAGGCAAGAACAGTCCATTAAAACCAAAACCCTATCATGTCTATTCTTCCTAAAATACCCCTGAAACGATATGACTTATGGTTTTTGATAATGTTGTCACGTAGAATGTCTCTCTATATAAATGCTTTAACCGTCACACAGAAAAGACAGAATTTAAAATTTAGTGATTTGTATATTAGGATTTCATTAGAAACTGGAAAGAATCTCTTATAAAACCTTGTATTTATTTTGCATTTCTGGCTTTATGCCAGTTGTTGTTTTTCTCAGTCACATGGAAATTCAGTTTTTTCTGCGAGTGCAATACCAAACTGTCTTCTAGGTTGTGGTTGTATTTGTTCTGTAAGATGTTGTACCGGTTTGCTAACTAATTCTACCAGTACGGACAATGAAAATATATGTTAGCTAGGATAATCTATTTATCGACAGCACTCCGTGCAGAATATAATTGACACAGAATACCAGACTAAAATAACATAGCTTCTTAAAGAATATTTCTGTAAATGATATTTTACCAAATACTCCCAAAAAATTAAAGCGCGTATTCGTTCTGTTGGTTTGTGTGAAGATAAATTATATTAAAACTCACCAGTTTTTACGTACTTGTAACAGTGTTAAATTGACTTCTCACATTCAAGTTACCCACGCCAAATTAACATAAATAAGGGGCTAGAGTTACGTAGTGAAATAATAATGAAAACAATTATAACAGTATTTCTGTCTCGAACGTGGGGTCGCAGTATGTTATTATAAGATTAAAAAATAGCTTTTTAAAATTGAAAATGTACGTTCAGTAGGCTAGAACAGCAATAAGCACTGACTGTTACATATTCTCTTTGTGTGGTATCATTGTTTCATGTAGTAAATTTCGGAATATAACATATATGTTGTTTGATTCAAAATCTCGCTGGTTATACGACATTATTACTGGGTGCTCACATAGAACACATCTTAATGTTATGAGTAATTAAAAAAAAATTCAATCAACCAACTCTCAAAATGTTAACATAAATGTATTTTCCTAAATTAGTAATGGTATTTACACAACTCATAGGAACGTGGGTTAAAGTGTATAAAATTGAACATTTAGGATGCTAGAGGAGTTATGGTGTCTTCTGTACAAAATGACTCATAAGAAATAGTTTTCACTATTTCAAAAGCGTTTAAATCATTATGTAATATGGTCTTCACAAATGGAGAAGAAGGCAGTTCGTCCTGTTGAGTTCGAGAAATCAAAAGGATATTCCAATCCACAATCTTGGTTTTTCGAAAGAGGAAAATAAATTGGTCTTTCTGTCCTGATAAATTCGTTATTAATGTGACTTGCATGAATTTGATTTATTATGAGCAGAATTAACTCCGTGTTACAGATAATAATAATAATACAAACTAACTAGAATAATAACTCAATGGAGTTGTTCACACGTTCAACTAGCTTTGATAATTTAAAAACTTTAAATGAAAATGACTCGGGTTTGTTTATTCATGTCATGACTCAATGAAATGAAACTTTTAATAAACATTATTGTAAGTGAAAAATCCGACAAGTTTGTTAATATGAAGTAAATATAGTAATAATACAAAAAATGTGTGTGTGAGTCTGCTTAGAGTTCTATGGCTTGATTGGGTGGTGGTAAATCAACCCACAACAACTGAAGCTAGTACAAAGTTTCATACTCGTAGTTTAAAAAAAAACAAAAAAACATACCAATGGAAGGAGAGAGGGTCAGCTTGTATCTATTTTTGGATATCTCGGATGGGTAGAACATTGGTTTTCTTAGCCAAAGGTCATGGGTTCAAGACCCATTCTCGAAATTTCTTTTCACTAATCGGCTTTTTCACTTACAGTAATGTTCGTTAAGAGTTTTCTTTGAACACTTTTAAAATAAGGTGTGTTTTGAAACACCCTAACTTCTCAACTAAAATAATGTTCTTTAAGTGTTTTCCTTGAACACTTGTAAGATAAGAAGGTGTGTTCTGAAACACCCCAACTTCTCAAAGTTAATCGGACTTTTTCACTCTGTTTATTTAAATTTATCTTTGAATATTTTGATTATCAGTCGTCCTAAATCAAGGCTTCGTTATTTTAGCACGATTGCGTTGTATGTATTTTACATGCTACAAAATTTTATATCTAGGTATGTTAAAGAATTATCATTATTCATCATTTTCGTAAATGATCACAGTTATAATTTCACCCACCTTTTTTTTTCATATACATATATATATATATATATATATACTTTCATCTACATTTTGTTTAATTTTTTATTGTTTCATATATATATATATATATATATATACTTTCATCTACATTTTGTTTAATTTTTTATTGTTTCATATATATATATATATATACTTGCAGTGACGAAAGGCTTCAAAATTTCCCGTCTAAAATGATTAACCAGCAAGACACAGAAAACTTAATGTATTCTCCACAGGTGGGTTTTGTGCTTAAATTCTTATTTAAAGTATTTTTGTTTTATGATTTAAGTTTCTTAAGTGTTTAACAAAACATCTTTAATCAAAAATTAAATGTGTTTGAATATCTAGTTAGTAAAACAATAGTGATATAAAAGTATTACTTTTCATATATAATGGGCATATGACGTTATTGTAATATAGTTTTGAATTTTAGCTATTTGTCTGAAATATTTGGTAGACATAAAAAACATAAATAGATAAAAATAAATAATGTTTCTAAGGAAAATTATTAGTTTATGAATTTTTGACTAGAAAAAATATATAATTTTTCTCCCAAACGTGATTATTTATAACTAGCATGTTGTGCTATATATAATTAATTGTAATTATTATTTGCATTGTTAGGAGAAAAGATTGTAAAAGGAGCATGACTTGGATGATATAGCCGTATTACTAGCTGCGATATAATTAAAATTCACGACCTAGATTTGGTACACCAATTTTCTTTAGTTTATATCAAATATATAAAAAAGCATAAGATGTAGTTTCTTGTGATTAAGCCATCATGAACTTTGTTTACGAAAAAAAAAAACTTTACAAACTTACAGCTATAAAAATTTCTGAACCAGGAAAACTGGGATATGGAGAAAAAAATAGATGTTAAGCCTTGTATGTGTTTACAGTACTTCATGGGCGACCACAATTTCGGACTTGATGACACAATAACAGAGAGGATGTACTCGATCCACGATATGTTTCAATCTAGTCCCGGTCTGTGTGAAGACTTAGAACCTAGTTTCAACCACACTTTAAACGCTCCATCAGCGGACAACCAGCTGACGCCATTAGATGGTAAGTGGCGCTCACTTCCAACATCTGCTGACGTATCATTTCAGCGTATTTTCGATATTTTATGACATCTTTGCATTAATCATTTATTTAACTATTAAACTGTTAAATGAAATTCACTTGTTTTCAAACCTTAATGTATGTATATAGAAATTTCACCAAACCTAAAGAAAAAGCTATGTATATTTGAATATATTTCGAAAGGCCTGGTATGTTCAGGTAGTTAGGGCGCTTGATTTGTAATCTGAGGGTCACGGGTTCGAATACCCGTCCTATCAAACATGCTCCATCTTTCAGCCGTGGGCGTTACAATGTTAGATCAATCCCACTATTCGTTATTAAAAAGAGTAGATCAAGTGTTGGCGGTTGGTGTTGATGACTAGCTGCCTTCCCTCTAGTCTTTCACTGCTAAATTAGGGATGGCTGGCGCATATAGCCCTCGTGTAGCTTTGCGCGAAATTCAAACCAAACCATATATTTCTAAAATTTCTAAATTTCTGAAATAAGACGTATATGCATTTAAAGCTTTTGTGGTCCTCTTCACATAGTTTGTACCTATTCGTAAAATAGTACAGTTAATGTTACAGAGAAATTAAGGCCATCATTCGTCATGTTTAAAAAAAAAATTGTCGGCTAGAAATTGCGTATGATATGTTAGGAAACGTAAAAATTAATATTTCAATTTAATGCTTATATATTGATGTTAATTTCAGTTGAAGTTTGTTTGTTATGGATTTCGCGCAAAGCTACACGAGGGCTATCTGCGCTAGCCGTCCCTAATTTAGCAGTGTAAGACTAGAGGGAAGGCAGCTAGTCATCATCACCCACCGCCAACTCTTGGACTTCTCTTTTACCAACGAATAGTGGGATTGACCGTCACAAAATAACGCCCCCACGGCTGAAAGGGCGAGCATGTTTGGTGTGACGGGGATTCGAACCCGCGACCCGCAGATTGTGAGTCGAGCGCCTTAACTACCTGGCCATGCTGGGCCCCAGTTGAAGTTTTAACATGGAAAATTGCGTTGGTCGTAGTAATGATTACATAAATGTTAATTTTCAGTATGATAATACTAGCTCGCTTGTGGTATGCATATTTGATTTTTCAGTTAAAGCCAAGTACCATTTAGCTCTATTTTTAACTATTTACCTCTAGAGGACAGAAAAGTTTTGACAAAGGCACTTGTAAAAGGCGCTTTAGGAGCAAAGGTTGTCTCATAAATGGTTATCAGTCTGTGTTTCTATGTAGAACTGATAAAAGCCTTGGAGATCTCCAGTTCCGGGCAAAAGTCATATCAAAAGAACAGTTGTACAGGTTGAACTGGAATCCTGAAAAAAATGGCGCCAGTAATAAAGAAGTGGGGGAGGGGAATGGTGCAACTGATTATCAGCATACCGATGATAAAACAGAGCGGGAAAAATATTACACGAAAAAAAGCATAATTTTTCTTTATCTACCACTCCCCATTTTGTGAATAAACAGTGCCATTTTTGCTTGATTACTTTTACCATTATCACCGAAATAATGAATTTTGGACATGTTGAAACTGGTTAAGTAAACATTTCACTGATTGAAATTACTTTTGCTAAATATTCACGACACTGTTTTGTTTTTCTCTTGGTTTTATATTTGTTGTCTCTTGTTTGTTTGTTTGTTTTTAATTATGCACAAAGCTACACAAGGGCTATCTGTGCTCTGCCCACCACGGGTATCGAAACCCGGTTTCTAGCGTTGTAAGTCCGCAGACATACCGCTGTGCCACTGGGGGGCTGTTGTCTCTTACAAAGAAAAAAAAGAAGTGAGTATACTAGTATTAAAAGTTTTTGTTTGAAGAGTAAAGCTACTTAATGGGTCATCATTGCTGCGCCCACAACAGGGGTCAAATCCCGAATTTTAGCGTTATGTGCCCTCAGACTTACTGTTGAGCCACAGTATGAAAAAAAGCTTAGTTTTATATATATTAAGCCATACCTCGAGGTATCAGTACAGTTATTGTAACGAGTGACCAGTAAACATGAGATTTTAAAAGGTGGGAGAAGCTACTGAACCGCATCCAATTGTAATAATTCTGTGCACGTGGACATCGGGATGTACTTACATTACTAAGAGTTCCTTCACAGTTAAACTAACATTGGGTGCACTAAGTTTAAAGGTTATGGATTAAGATTTGCTGTTTTAACTTAAAGAAGGTCGAGTTGTTTCGAGCACTGTATGCACTGAACTTTAGACTAACCTAACATAGTTTTTGGAGTAATTTAATTGTAGCATGATTTTTATTGTTTTGGCAAAGAGTTGTTAAACTTCCACTAAAAAAATCACAATATGGACCTGAGAGTGATCTTAAGAAGTTCATTTAAACCGCTGTAGTAGAATTAATCCAAATATTAGAAATCTAATACCACAAAAAACTAAATAAAAAATTAAGGAAAGATGGGTTTTGATTTCAAACAAAAAGAGGGATAGTATTTTAACACTTACAATATCAAGCAGTCAGTCTTTTGCTGCAGATCTGATTATACTTAAACAAATTAGTGAAGAAGCAACTGAATTGGTTACTAAGCTAAAATATTTAATTACCAAAGGAATAAATTTGGGACTAATTCCAAAAATTAAAACAAAAACAAAGTAAAGCCGTCTTTGCAACTTAAAAATACTAATAGAAAAGCCGAGATATATTTAGACCATTTAGAAGAGGGCGAACGGTTGATAAGCTCAAATCCAGTTTTTAAACATTTCAAATAGGTTAGATAGACTATAAGTTTTCAACCGGTGGGGCACGCTCCTTTGGGGAGGGGCGATCGCTTGAGTGATGCTGTCATAAGTTAAAATAATAAATATTTTGAAAAATATAATATATTACAAACTAGCACTCTATTATTATTATTATTATTATATTTTTTATGACTGACTTGTATCATAAGCACTACTAAAAGTAAGGAGTGTTTTATCTGTGTATTCATTTTATAGCCGCGGCATAACGGCTCATAGAATGGCTCCGAGTTTCTTTCCACGTACATGCTTTTAGCTCATAGCTCTACCTCTTGAGCAGTTGAAATCTAACTACAGCCGCGGCTATTGAGGTTTCCTCTTGTTTTTT